CACTTCTATAATCTCGTTCATCATACTGATTTGAATGGTCTGAACCATGTTGTTATAAATCTGTAAACAGAAGATAAATTGTATACATGCACTGGAAAATAAAAAAAAACGAAAAGAGGTCTGCTCTGACAAAGTACAACCTTTATAATTCTTGTCAGAGGATGAAGTAACGGCAAGTACATTGCAATCATTTGTACTTTCCCGCTCAATTCGGTTTCCCGCTACGTATTTGTCATTTACACAGCTAAATCTAATTCATAAAAAAGAGATACTGCCATTTTAGCAAGTCCCTGTGACTTTCTCACTAATCTTTGAATTAATTCAATCATTTATTTTTTCATGGGTCCTGTGGCAATAATAAAATATTTTTATTTCATTAGTGTTAGTTCAATTGGATTCATTAAAACATTNTACCTAAACAAAAATTAATCTCCTTGACATGATATGGTATCCAAAATGAGCAAAAAAAAGACAAGTACAAATCGTAATATATTCACATGATTTATAAATATGTTTTAACTGATTTAGAATGAAATTGAAGAAAAAAATCTTATATTGAGTATTATGACAACTATTACTTATGATTCACCTATGCAGACTTCTCAGAATGGGATAATGTAGAGTGTCCCAAGTCCAACTGATTATTCCATATGACATGTTCTCTTCTGTGGAGGCGACAGTACATTCGTTTCTTTTCTTTCTTTTTCGAGTTCTTTCTAAAAAAAAACATTTTCAGATAAATTAATGTTGCTAGTAGTAGTAAATTAACATACTTGAAATGCTTTCTCAATTGCTTTGGCCGGAGATATTATATTTTTGACATTAAATATTGCTGCTTCAGAAATGGCCAAGTGATGCAATTGTAGTGGCATTGAGGTGCATCCAATATTGATCCCAATAAGTCCTCGTGCGCTCCATACACCGCCACCNATGATATATATATATATATATATATATATATATTATATAGTTAATACATGAAGGGACTATATCAAGAGAGAGAGAGAGAGAGAAAGAGAAAATCAACTTTTGAATAATAAATAGTTAGTAAGCGCAGGTTGAACGTTTAATTTGGTGCAAGCAGTTCTTATTGGTAATAATGTTATTGAGCCGTAAAGGTGTCAGCAGCCGCTAACAACATTACTTCCACTAGTAAGAATTTGTTAGTTAATGTTCAAATAAGTGGAAAGATGTATGCAAATTGATTCGAAAAATTGCCAAATGAGAACTATATAAATGGTTGTGTTTTTATTGCAAAATCTGCTCTAGACCACGAACTAGCCTTCTCTCGCTTCTCACTCCTTTACCAAAAAGGTCAGCATCATTTCCGTTCATAATGCGCGCTATATGAGAATATAATAATCAAAAAGCATTTATATAAACGAATCGGAACGCAACAGACAGGAATGTTTCAATTTCGAAAGAGTAGAATATGTAACAACTTAGAACTGAATAACCTTCAATCTCTCGGACATGAGCCTCACTCTGCAACTAATTCAATTAGTCAACTTTTTGTGCTTCGCATTAAGATTTCACTCACAACTCATTCAATTTTGAGTTGTAGAATATTTTTTATGGAGAAAAAGAGAGAGAAAGCACTTAAAACAAAAGCTTTCTTTAATGTATTTCATTGAATTGTAAGATAGGAGGATGACATTATTTTTATTTGGAAATGTAAAGGATACACATGCATTAAAGTGCTACTCTACTCTTTAATATAGTTACACCAATTTCATTATCAATCAAATGAGAAAAAATGAGGAAGAAGTTTTCGAATGGTTGCTAGAGAGAGAGAGAGAGAGAGAGAGAGACTTGAATGCTAATCGCTGCATAGTATGGAACTGCTTCCGAAAATGGAATGTTAACGAATGAAATTGAAAAATATATTTCCGAAAGTTTTGATATGATTAATCATGTAAATTAGACGAATTGGCAATGATGATTAATGAGCAGCCTCAACTCTCTTGTATCGCTTTTTGTTATCAAAAATTTAATTTTGCTTCCCCTTATTTCGTCTTGTTCATTCAAATCCTTATATCATATTAGAATGAGATAGGATAGCGTTCTCTTCGATATCTTATTGCATATCAGATTGTTTCAGACAGAAAGCTCAATGATCGACAGCTGATATTATTTCTTTTAATAATTGGATAAAGCAAGCTATCAAAAACCTTTTAAAATATGCATAAATTTCATTTTATGATGGCATTATTAAACATCAGAATGTGAAAAAATTATTTATTTGTTAACTGTAAACGAAGTGCAATGGTATGAGAATCTATAACATCTTCTCATATAATATCTAATAATTGATAGAAAAATGTGTTGGTTGAGTATATCTAAGATGCAATGAGTAACCTTCGAATATGTGCATATTCTTCGTTTTCTTTTTTTTCTTTTTTTTGTTTAATCAAAAACAAGATTAAGAGATTGTTGGTTCTTTCCTTCGGAGTTCTCAACAACGCATTTGTATCTGGCCTCATCATCTTTTGCGGGTCCAGTAATTTCCAGCAAGAATTGGAAACCATCCTTGTCCTGATAATGCATTAAAGTTAAAAAAAATTGTTACAACTATTCAGATAACCTTGTCATCTTGCTTTACAACAGCTTTGACTCTGTCGGTGTACTTAACAGGCTTATCGTCCTAGAAATTTGACGGGATATTTTTTATTTTTCATAACACTTATCTAACCTTGAACCAATCGCATTTCATCTCCAAATGAGATTTAGCTCTAACCTTGATAACAATAATGTTACCATTATCTCTTTGGATAATATGAGGCTTGTCATAAAAATCGGGGGCTTCTTAAGATCAAAAAATTAGTTTTCACTTCTAATACTTTCATGTTGAGTTGTTTACCTCCGGCTGTAACAGTGAAAGAAGCACTGTTTTCACCATCAGCAGAGTAGAAGAAGGCCTTGTAAACACCGGCTAATGGCTTGTCAAAATCCTTTAAACCATTTTGATCATATGTATGAGAGATATTCTAATTACCTTAATCTGGCAAACAAGTTTCTTGCGATTTCCTCCTTCATCACTGAATGAGAAAATGAAGTTCTTGTTCTCTTCAAGCTCTTTCTCTCCGAAGAACCATTTGGTTTTAGCGGGATCCGCTCCAGTTACTAACACCTGATATTATTGGACATATAAGTAAACTTGTGAGAGCAGATGTAATAAACCTCTAAAAATACTCCGCTTGCTTCGGAACGAATCTTAGGTTCGCCGTAAATAGATGGAGGAGCCATGATACTGAAAATGAAAGTTAGTGAGAAACCTTTCGGAGATTATAAGTATAACAAGCTATGCAATAGAAGTTCGATGAGTTAGTAAGAAATAATACTCAGCAAACGAACTATTAACTGAACGTGAACTGAATTGACTGAAAGTGAGTAGGCAGCACAACAGATAAGAAGTGAGAGAAGAATGAAAATGAGCTGAAAACTGAATCGTGAAAGAGAACTAGCTGACAGAAAAGAGATTTAACGACTGAGCGAGAGTCCTTTGAGACATATGCCTACTTTACAACTTTATGTTGAGAACTATTTTCAGAGATATTTCAAATAATCTCGCAAAAGAGCATTAGCTTGCAATAAGAAAGACAGAAACTGATGAAAAAAAGCAGCAGCATAATATGTGTTGATGGTTATTATCACATCTGTCGATTTGAAATGAGATTACACTTTAAGACGAAACCATTATTTGAGTTTCAACTGCTAGCTATTAAAACTTGAATGGCTTTTCAGGGCTTTATCAAGTGAAATCTCTTTCTATCTTTTTTCCGTCCTTTTAGCACAATGGGGGATTAGTACGTAA